AATGAAGGAGATATATCTAAACACCACTGAATGGTTAATTGAGATTACCGTGAGGATAACTTTCTAACAGTTTTCTCTTAAAAAAGTGGCGACATCCTCGAGTAGTTGGATTTAGACCTGTCTGTCAAAATCGACTGAGCACATATCTCTTTGAGCTCTACAAGAACTCACGACTCCCTCTCGTAATTCATGTTTGCTAGTCAATAGTGGTCACCATGTACTAACCGCCATCAAATACTTCATATTACTTCAATCTCTCTCAGACATTCCAATGTTTATAGTAATATTTCCTCATAGTATGAATGTCTATCAAGGTAGTATGAACCCCATCTCTGAAGCGGGAAGGGATTTGCCCAGATCCTTCCTGAAGTAGCATGGGCCTAATTTCTTGGTATAATCCGTTCATCCCATGAGTATTTGGATGATAAAAATGGAAATAGGATTTATTCAATGATAACATCAGGATGCAGCAAGTAGAGTTTACCATTCCATTGAACACGCTTGCAGGGACATTCTTTCGACAAAGCCCGTCTAAAACTACCAATCAGTTAACTTTAAGCGGCCGGTGAGAATCCTTCATTTATCGTTGTCTCCTTCCACCCTTCTCTCACAAAGCTTCTTGCCATTTTACTTAATTTATTAGAATTTTCTGATTAATGGACTAAAAACTGAAAGGTTTTGAATTTGGTTCTCAAGTGACTGAGCTTTAAGCGTAGGGAGGGAGGAGGGAGGTATGGAGGGGGGGGGGGCAGTTTGAGTATTGAAAAAATATTCCTCTATGCTGTATCTTGGAAATGTAAATGAGAGGCTGAAAATAATTTGCTTCCATGGTATTCGTAGCTTTTGCACACAAAAAGAAAAAATACGGGGGCTATTACACATCCACATTTATTTATTACGCCTTCCTGACATGTTGTTATTCCTTAATAATATTGTATATATTCATATTAATAATATGTTTAATTAGTTTCAATTAGTTACTTTCTACACAATAGTTTTCAATTTCTATCCACAACGAAAAGAAATTAAGAGAAAAGAAGTATCATTTCTACTACTTCTAAATAAAAAAAAAAAAAAAAAAACTTCCACTGATTCTTATTTTATAATCTGTAAGTTACTTCAATGATACTCCTTTTCTTCCGATCCTACAGTCAATCAAAACATCCCCCGTAATCGGTCTATGCTTAAATCCACACCCGGATCAAGTCTCCGTTTTCGCAAATTTTTTTCGTTAATCCCGGGGAAGTAGAAAAATATCAACGTCAAGATCAACGGCAATAAAGACCCACGATAACAATATCCTTATCCGCTCGAGCATCTTACCGGTAAAATAATAATCATTCACAGTAATTATTCATTCTCCATTTTCTTTCGTTATCTCGCCTCGATCTCGATCAGCTTAAATTTTCTTACAAATTTTCAAGAAAAATCCCCAATAAAATGAATTTATCAGCGGCGGCGATCTAACCTAAACCGCTCTCCACTCTTTCCCCAAATCCCAACCGTAACCCTAATTCCAAAAATGAAGGAGATATATCTAAACACCACTGAATGGTTAATTGAGATTACCGTGAGGATAACTTTCTAACAGTTTTCTCTTAAAAAAGTGGCGACATCCTCGAGTAGTTGGATTTAGACCTGTCTGTCAAAATCGACTGAGCACATATCTCTTTGAGCTCTACAAGAACTCACGACTCCCTCTCGTAATTCATGTTTGCTAGTCAATAGTGGTCACCATGTACTAACCGCCATCAAATACTTCATATTACTTCAATCTCTCTCAGACATTCCAATGTTTATAGTAATATTTCCTCATAGTATGAATGTCTATCAAGGTAGTATGAACCCCATCTCTGAAGCGGGAAGGGATTTGCCCAGATCCTTCCTGAAGTAGCATGGGCCTAATTTCTTGGTATAATCCGTTCATCCCATGAGTATTTGGATGATAAAAATGGAAATAGGATTTATTCAATGATAACATCAGGATGCAGCAAGTAGAGTTTACCATTCCATTGAACACGCTTGCAGGGACATTCTTTCGACAAAGCCCGTCTAAAACTACCAATCAGTTAACTTTAAGCGGCCGGTGAGAATCCTTCATTTATCGTTGTCTCCTTCCACCCTTCTCTCACAAAGCTTCTTGCCATTTTACTTAATTTATTAGAATTTTCTGATTAATGGACTAAAAACTGAAAGGTTTTGAATTTGGTTCTCAAGTGACTGAGCTTTAAGCGTAGGGAGGGAGGAGGGAGGTATGGAGGGGGGGGGGGCAGTTTGAGTATTGAAAAAATATTCCTCTATGCTGTATCTTGGAAATGTAAATGAGAGGCTGAAAATAATTTGCTTCCATGGTATTCGTAGCTTTTGCACACAAAAAGAAAAAATACGGGGGCTATTACACATCCACATTTATTTATTACGCCTTCCTGACATGTTGTTATTCCTTAATAATATTGTATATATTCATATTAATAATATTTAATTAGTGTTCATTAGTTACTTTCCTACACAATATTTTCAAATTTCTATCCACAACGAAAAGAAATTAAGAAGAAAAGAAGTATCATTTCTACTACTTCTAAAAAAATACAAAAAAAAAAAAAACTTCCACTGAATTCTTATTTTATAATCTGTAAAGTTACTTCAATGACTACTCCTTTCTTCCGATCCCTACAGTCAATCAAAACATCCCCGTAATCGGTCTTATGCTTAGATCCACACCCGGATCAATCTCCGTTTTCGCAATTTTTTTCGTTAATCCCGGGGAAGTAGAAAAATATCAACGTCAAGATCAACGGCAATAAAGACCCACGATAACAATATCCTTATCCGCTCGAGCATCTTACCGGTAAAATAATAATCATTCACAGTAATTATTCATTCTCCATTTTCTTTCGTTATCTCGCCTCGATCTCGATCAGCTTAAATTTTCTTACAAATTTTCAAGAAAAATCCCCAATAAAATGAATTTATCAGCGGCGGCGATCTAACCTAAACCGCTCTCCACTCTTTCCCCAAATCCCAACCGTAACCCTAATTCCAAACCGCCGCTGATAAATTCATTTTATTGGGGATTTTTCTTGAAAATTTGTAAGAAAATTTAAGCTGATCGAGATCGAGAGCGAGATAACGAAGAAAATGGAGAATGAAATAATTACTGTGACTGATTATTATTTTACCGGTAAGATGTCTCGAGCGGATAAGGATATTGTATCGTGGTCTTTATTGCGTTGAATCTTGACCGTTGATATTTTTCTACTTCCCCGGGGATTAACGAAGAAAATGCGAAAAGGAGACTTGATCCGGGTGTGGATCCTGAATGCATAGACCGATTACGGGGGATGTTTTGATTGACTGTAGGATCGGAAGAAAGGAGTATCATTGAAGTAACTTTACAGATTATAAAATAAGAATTCAGTTGGAAGTTTTTTTTTTTTTTGTACTTTTTAGAAGTAGTAGAAATGATACTTCTTTTCTCTTAATTTTCTTTTCGTTTGGATAGCAAATTGAAAATATTGTTAGAAAGTAACTAATAAACTAATTAAAAATATTATTAATATTGATATATACAAATATTATTAAGGAAAAAATATGTCAAGGCCGTAATAAAATAAAGTGGATGTGACCTAGCCCCCGTATTATTTTTTGTGTGCCAAAGCCTCGAATACATGAAGCAATTATTTTCAACCCCACGCTCAAAGCTCAGTCATCTTGAGAACCCAAATTCAAAACCTTAGTTTTTAGTCCATTAAATCCAGAAAAAATTCTAATAAAAATTAAAGTAAAATGGCCAAGAACGCTATTGTGGAGAAGGGTGAAGGAGACAACACGTAAATGGAAGGGATTCCTCACCGGCGTCGGTCGTTGCGATTAGCGAAAGAGGATTTCCAAAACTATCTGCCTCTGCCTTCATATCTCCAAGCGGTGGTTCTCCTCTGACATCCTCTGAGGATGAGAAGAGTAATGAGGCAACGGTGACCCTATTGAGCATGAAAAGGGGACCGTAAGTTCGAGAGCAAGAGAAGACGCTCGCCGGAGGATGTGCCCATCTCTAAGAAGAAGTAAGTTCCCAATCAATTGAGTAGTTTTGAACTTAATTAATTTTTGTTATAAGCAATTCATAAAATTATGGTGTTTAATGTTAGTTGAACATATGAGTGGGAAAAAGGAAGAAAGGTAACAATTTATGTGTTCGAAATGAGATTGAGGTTTATGTGTTCTATTTATGAAAAAAATATGGTGAGAAACTAGTTATTGTAGTATAGAACCAGTTTCTTAATTTGGGAGTATGATCTGAATAATATCAAGTATAATTTTGGTTTTTTGGTCTTTTTGCCTTGTCTTCTCTTGCCTTTGGGGTTCCTATAAATACCCACGCGTATCCTCAGTTCTATGAATTCAAGAGAATGTTTTAAGAAAGTTTAACAATGGTTTAAAGTTTGGTTTAAGTTTGTTTAAAAAGCTTTTAAGTATTTTTCTAGTTTCGGTTTGTGAAGAGAATTTCACAAGAGCAAGTGGAGATCATCCTTTGGTGTTTGAGCATTCACTCTTCTCCCTCTCTCTTGTTATCTATAGAGAAGTTTTCTTAAACTCAATTCTAGCTATTTATTGTTTTGATTCTAATTTCCATAAGCTATTGAGTTTAATTGTTTTATTGATACTCTTTGTTCACACACAACCTATTGAGCTTATTGTATTTGCATTCATAGTATAATTTGGGATT